GGCTGACGCAGCACTGAAACGCCGGCCGTCACAATTTGACAATTTTTTTTTTTTTTTTTTTAAACCGAGAGATACGAATGAACTTTGCTAGATTGGTTCGCCAGTACGATTTTAAGAAATATCGAGTATTTCGTGGAGGCTGCCAACTTGTCACTTCTTTTTGTATAAAACAAAAAAGTTTGCTTTTTGGGGGGAGTGAATGCTGCCGTGGGGCTTCCTTGCAAGCAAACAAAAAGCTGTTAAGTTTCTCTCAGACAAATGTTTCATGAAGAGAAGAGAAAGCGCAACAACCGAGAGCGGCTGTCGATTGTGGAACCCGGCGAAGCGCCGTGGCTTGTTGAATAAAAGCTCCCGACAGAGCGATATCCATGTCTCGGGCTTTATTGACGCCCAACCGTGTGTGAGCTCATTGTCTTTCCGATCACAACATGAAACAGCAACACGTTTCATTCGGGAGCCGAAGAGGGGAAGCGAACAAATGGAGAGATTGCGCGGCAAGGTTTGTCGTCCAGTAAAGGAGAGAAGCGCCGGACTTGATCGAGCCAACTCGCCGGCAGTCCGGACGACGGATGGCGCGGCCATCAAAACGCTAAGAGCTAAGCCAAGACAAACCGCACGTCCGACGTCATGAAGCCGTCGGCGGGAAAGAGCGAGGAGGAGGTTGCGCTGAGCTCTGCAAGCTTTGTGCTCTTGAAACTCGTGGCGGGACCAGTGTGCTTTTCAAGTCTGTCCAACGTTGATTGAGTGAGTGGGTGACTCTTTGTTGGCGCCTCGCCCGTCAGCCGAAGCCACAAAAAGAAGCGTTTTGAGCGTGACCGGGGGGCGCCGCCGCCGCCTCACTCGTCCCTCCCGCCCTCCACCATGCGGTAGCGCTGTCGGCACGAGGACGGCAGCGTCAACGGCCACGAGAAGACCACGGGCACGTTCGTCTGGACGTTTCGCTCCAGGAAGTTGAACACGGGGTTCCACCACGTGCGTGACAGGAAGTTGTTGGGCGCCCGACGGAGAGCCTGCCAGGAGGGAAGGGAGGGTGTGGGGGGGAGACGGCACATGCGGGTACGTACCCTGAAGTATTTGTGAAATCAGGCTTGCGTCGCGCAGAGGTCGTCTGGTCGCTGTCTCGTTTCTATTTTACCGCTTGGTCTCCGTGACCACGAAAGAAGCACGGCGAAGCTCTTTCAGCCATGTGCAAACCAAGCGGCTGGAAAGGTTCGGTGCTTCATGAAGCTTCATTTCGCCACCGCTCGAGTAAAGGCTACGCGAAAGCTCATACGCCGACAAATCTTTCCACCAGAAACGCGTCACGAGCTGCCGTGCGGATCGTCCGTAAAACGGATGCGATAAGAATCCCAAGAGCGCCTTCTTTCCATCGCTGCGTCTACGGGTATGGTCGCTCAGGCTTTCGAGTCTCGCACACTTTGAAAAGTCCTCGGGGCAGCCTACTACAAAGCATCGCAACGCCATCGCTTTTGCTCGGATTTGCACGAATCGTGCGCGCCCTGCTGCTCCGCAACACAATTCGGTCGTTTCCCAAATGTCAATTCTTCTTTTGCGTGAGTTGAAAAAGCACAGCGGCGCATGGTTGGCCCTGAAGCCGGAGAACGAGGTTGAGGACTAAACGCGGCTTTGGGCGGGAGCGTGCTTACGTGCGTGTTGGCCATGGTGTGGTACCACCAGAAGAGCCTGGTGGTGACAAAGTATCCCACCAGGACGTCGATGCTGTAGTGCTCGTGCCCCACCAGGATGCAGAGCACGCCCGAAGCGCTGAGCAGCCAGCAGATCCACTGGTACCAGCACATCCAGCGAGGAGAATCTGCAGCGGGCGGCGGGCTCAGGTTAGATCACGCCGGCTCTGGAGGCGCGCCGGTGCCTTTTGCCAACTCACACTCTTTGATGAAGAGGTAGGACAGGGTCAACATAACCGTGTGGCCGCTGTACAGGAAGTCGCCGCACATCATGTGGGAGCCGGTCAGAGATAAGCCTGCGTGCGTATTTCGGCACATTTCGGTCAACCGCTTGAATCGGTACTTCCAATTTCACAACAGTCGTTTGCACACAAGTATCTGTACCTCTGCTCCAAGTGGAAGTCGAGTAAAAATAAATCAATAAAAGGTTGGAACAACATGTGAACAATAATAATAACTGAATCGAGAATTATTTATCTGGCAGAACTTGAGCTCCGGTGGCTTATGGTTGCCAATTACCTGAATTTCTGTGAAGGGGTGCCACCAAGCTCTATTTTAGGACCACTGTTTTGTTTCCCCATGTGCAATGCTGATTTTCATGATGGTATCAAATCACTTTGAATTCATCCGTTCGCGAATGTGTGTGTGTGTGTGTGCGCGCACGCATATCGGACCTCCTCCGGAGATGAGCCGCACAATCCTCCAGATCTTCCCTGTCGAGTCATCGTACAGCTGTAGGTTTCCACGACAACACGCATCAGCACAAAGTGATGACGGCAAGGGAGCGCGCGCGGGTGTTTGCGTACCTTGGGCGCGCACACCATGTGTTGGCCCGGCACGGGCAGGGTGGTGATGTACATGGTGATGCAGCGGTACATGTAGAGTGTTCCGATGAGGAAGAAGCAGCGGCGTCCCACAATGGCTCTGATGGGAAGGAAATGAAATTGGCACAATGGTACGACGCGCCCCACTGATAAATGCCGTGGCCGACATTGGCAATTTTAAAATGGGGAGTGATCTGCAGCTTTTGTTGCCACCCCCTGCAGCCCCCCCCCCACACACACACACACTTTGATACATGACCACATAAGACAAAGATAATGACATTCAAACATTGTCCCCCCAACCCCTCAAAAAAAAAAACCCGACCGATTTCTGGCAATTTTTCTCTCCATATCGCTTTTAATGTTGTAAGTGTTCAGGGACCAAAACAGAAATGATTTCATTCATTCTATTTGTATTTTCAAATGTAAGCGGCTGATGAATTCTTGGGTTATTGGAACAGGAGTGGCCTTAATTCTAATTGCCCCACGGGGATAAAAAAAGTTTTCTGAATCTGATTTAAAAAATGGCTCTGGGTGGGGCCCTGGTGGGAACGAATCAAGATAGTCTCATTAAGCTTTGGGAATATGAACACGGTTGGGAGGATTTCTTTCCAAATGCATAGTTGGGGATGATTCAAAAAAATCTCCTTCATAACATCATCCACGTCCCACAATATTAAAGTCATGGAAGGTGAAAACTTCCATTACATTTGGATAGACTGCGCGAGGAAAAGTTGCTTGCGTGTTCTTCACAAGCCAAAGTTTCCTTTTGTTCGACGTCGCTCATCAATAGACGGACAATATCCGGTTATTGACGACGAGATGTGAGGATGCGTAACATCATCCACGTCCCACAATATTACAGTCATGGAAGGTGAAAACTTCCATTGCATTTGGATGGACTGCGCGAGGAAAAGTTGCTTGCGTGTTCTTCACAAGCCAAAGTTTCCTTTTGTTCGACGTCGCTCATCAATAGACGGACAATATCCGGTTATTGACGACGAGATGTGAGGATGCCGCGATGTTCCCCGGATGAAACTTTTGATAGGCATCATCGCCTAACGGAGGGTCTGGGTGGAAATAGACCAAACGTCGGCTTCCGCGAGCTCGGAATGCATTTGTGTCGACGCGAAAAAAAATGAAATCATCAGGACATGGGAGGGATTCTTGAGGTTGAGCGCGGGACGGCCCGTGTCTCACCTGTGCTTGAGGAGCAGCCACTGGACCAGCCAGAGTCCCACCAGGATCAGCCCGTTGACCTCGGTGACGGTGAAGGCCCAGGGAACGCGGCCCACGTAGTCAAAGAACTTGTCGGGCAGCGGCGGGCTCACGGACTTGTCGGGCACCCTCTCGTGCACGATGGTGATGACCACGGTGGTGAAGATCAAGTTGAAGACGGCGTAGAGGAAGGCCACGCCCGTCTTCCACCATTCCTTGGGGAGGCGGTCGGCGCGCTCCTCACGCATGGAGATCTTGACGTAGTCGCAGTGGCGCTTGAGGCCGCTGCTCAGGCTTTGGACCAGCTGGTTCTGCTGGAGGAGACCGCTCATTTTGCTGCGCTTGCTCCTGCCGTCCGGGGCGTCGGCCGCGGGCGGGGACGCGGGGCTGCCGTCCGGGCGAGCGGGCGAGGAGGGCGCCGTTGCCGTGACGCTCACTTCCACGTGGGGGCGGATGTGGTCGTCGTCGTCGTCCTGGATCAGACCCGAGGCCGCCATGGCGCTCTCTGGGATGACCGCGACTCCGAACGCCGTCCCAACGCTTCCCGACGGCGCTTGTCAAATGACGCTGGTTCAGGAAAGTGGGTCGAAAAACTGCAAATCAACAAGTCATCGGCTCTTTAACGCACGCAGAAGATTCCAGTCCGCGAGTGAGCCAATTCGATACGCAACCGCTGGCCCTGCGGACGGGTGAATGAAATCCACGCTTGTCTGACTTTTTTTTTTTTATGCATTATCGCCCCCTGCTGTCGACTGAAAGTGACGTCAGAATCAAATCCTTAAAAAGGTCTAACAATGTCAAATATACATTTGGGTAATAATATCTCCCCTTCGTTTTGCCCACAACGCTTCTGTATTTTTATGGTGGTCATGATGGTGGTGCTTGAAGAGCTGCGTTTTCTTGGGGTTTTTTTGTTTTGTTAGATGAACCACCGACTTAGATTAAAGTCCAAACACCTTTTACAACTAATTTATGAAGAAACCCAGGTAATTACTCTTTCTCTTTCTTTTAAATGCAAATGCGCGTGCGTGTGCGTGTGTGTGCGTGTGGTGAGAGGGAGATTTTAAAACTCTAAACTTTAAAGTGAGGATCGAAACGATAATGATGACTTGCTCTCTTTATTGGAACGTCGGGAAACCAAAACAAAAAAAAGACACTCCCGGTCAGGCATTGAACGCGACTTCCTGTTTACGCCTCTCAAATCAATATCAGGAGACTCTAATTAAAGCCCATTCGGCAACATTGGGCGTGATCTCACTGTTTTGACCCATTAAAATAATAATAATAATAAGGGGAGTAGGCTAGGCATTAAGAAACAACAATAGGAGTGTGAAACAAACGTGAATTTTTTTTTTTCGTTGCACCATTGAGGCCGATAATAAAGGCAACCATCCTTTACTCGTCTTGAGCCACGAGAAGCGTTTTAAAGGAAAAAAATGGCAATGAAATCGTTGGCGTCCTTCAAAGAGGCTCAGACCGGAAATGAGAAAGACACCTGTCGGGACGGGTTGAAGACACTTTGGCGTCACGAAAACAGCACAAGTGAACAAGCACACACTCACCGCTTCAGCCGAGGGTGCCGGAGGGGATCGGAATGCCCACAAAGTCAACTCTTTTCGCTCTTTGGCAAACTCGGGGATGGTGTTGGTTCGACTTGGACGCGTTGCGAGCCGACACGGTCGTTGTTCGACGTCTACTACCGGTTACGCCCCCTCTGCACTCCGTGACTCACCTGAGTTCGGACAAACTCGTTTTTTGACGTAAAAAAAAACCGACAGGATTCGCTCTACGGAAGCCCGGAAATATCAGAATAAATACCTACCCGGCTCAATAGTGGATAAATGTAGGTACATATACTGTATGTGTGTGTTCGTGTGAAAACACAGTGGTTTAAAATTATTTTGTGAAATTAAAATGATATCATCTCATATTTAACCAGTTCAGTTCGACCAGACTCGTTGTTTTCGGTAAATCAACGGAACGGTGATACACTTTAAAAAACCGGAAACGAAACAAAACAATTAACTATACTAACCATCGTATTTTTGTCCTTTTGTAATTTGTCTACACCATTTTTTTTTTAAACAAAGTGTCATGTTTTAACAGTGTGAATTTGGGTCAATAACACATGCCAGCGGTCTGTTTTGGTACAGTACAATTAGTTGGATGCAGTTTGTTTATATTCCACCAGAGGAAAGTAACGAGCACACTGAAACGCTTTCACTTTTGTCTTGACGTTGGATTTGTTTTAATAATGTATGAATAAGCATGGGGCTCCTTTATGTGAAACGGGTGATCAAAATAAGAATAAAAGTGGATGTCGTACATATATATTTATAAAACAGCAGAATTGGCTGTTTTTGTGTGGGGAGGCGTGGCTCCCGGAGCTGAGAAGATAGACTGGGACAGCTGATGGACAAATGCCTCTGTCGGCGTAAGGAACCACAGAGCTCGGAGACATGGAGTCGGACAACATGTTTCATCCCAGGTTGGAAAGTCTGTGCGAGTGTGCGTGTATGTGCAGCGCACAGATGTCTGTGATTGGAATTGGAGAACGTGTGTGTGTGTGTGTGTGTGTGTTTCTCAATATTAAGAGAATGCGAAACTGTACCAACAGGTGTTACTGTTGTGTTTGTATGCGCGTGTGTGTGTGTGTCCGTGTGTGAGTGTGTGTCCGTGTGTGTGTGTGTGTTTACAATTAGTCTCGCTTGTTCGGAGTGTGCGCATGCGCCTTGACAGCCAAAGTTATTTTGAGCGAGCACAGCTGTCGAGTGCTTGCCACGTGAGGACTTTTTTTTGCAGACGTAAGATGCTATAGAAAATGGACGGATGGCTGTTTTCCCGTACGTGCCACGCAATGGAACGGCAACCAGTGATGATGGGCAAAATGAAGCCCCCTGAACCACCGAGGACTCATTGCTTCAGCGAAATGTTCACGACTTGTTGCTTCATTCACATGAACTCTCGACTGTCACCCGGTGTACAGTGGCGAGTCAAAGAGATGAAATCTTGAAATGCTTTGAGGTATTCTGAAAGAATGTGGCCAAATGAAGCTTTGCGAATCATTGAGGCTCTCCGGACAATTGGTCTGCATATGGCATGAAGCGATCTTGCTTCATTTGCTCGCTGGCATCATCAAGCGATAAGCTTCACGCTGTCAATCGGGGTTTTCATTTGGCCCATCGCTACAGCTACCGGTCCAAGGTGCATCCGTCCTCTTGCCCAAAGTCAGCGGTGATTCGACACGCAAAAAGCATTGAGGTTTGGGCTCTTTTTCAGCCTTTCTGCGGCCCTGATGAAGTTGGATCCCGAAGACGGCGGGAAGATGGTGGAGTACTTCCAAACGCACGCGCTGCTGGCCAGAGAGAAAGCTCGTAAGCGTTTTTTTCCTCAGAGCATCCCATCACTTGAGGTGGGCGGAACGGTGACCGCTCGGGGGCTTTTGGCAGTCCTGCAGGCGTCCGTGCGCGAGCAGAAGAAGCTGCTGGTGGAAAACGGCAAACTGAAGAAGGACATCGAGGAGCTGCGGCACGAGCTCCGCGACAAGCAGAGGAGACGCGTGGGTACGAGCGCTCGCGGGCGATTGCTCGGGAAGCCTTCTTCTCCCCTTTGTCTCCCTTTCCTCCAGCTAAGGCCCTCGTCTCACCGAGCAGAGCCGCCAATCCAGCCGCTTCGCCCGCCCCCGCCGCGTCGCCGTCCCGCTCGGTCGACCTCCAGGCGACTGGTAGGCAAAGAGGAGAGAAATAGATATAGCAATTGAAAGGAAGCCACTTAGCGACAGGCCACGCCTCCATTTGGGCAAAGACAAGCGTTGCTGCTGATCAGTCGCCGACCACTCGGGTGACGCGAGAGCCCCAAATTCTGCTTGCGCTCCCGCTGTGGTGGACATCTCGCAGCGTCACCGCAAAGCTCTCTTTTGCACAGCCGCTCCCGAAGCGCTCCTGCCGCCGCCACCGGCGGCCCCCGCAGTTGACGTCTCCCGCCTGGACCTGAGAGTCGGACGTATCCTCGGCGTTCGCCGCCACCCGCGTGCGGCGAGTCTGACTGTTCACGACGTCGACGTGGGAGAGAAAGCCCCGCGCCCGGTCGTCGGCAAGCGCCGCCCGGGTGACCAACAACCGGTTACTTCTTCTTTTTGGTCTCGCCCACCGTTCGCTTAGTTGTGTCACTCATTTTCCTTTGCCCGGCAGCTCGCCGGCTCGCTCGCCGTCCTGCTCTGCAACGTCAAGGCCTGCAAAGTGAGGGGCGCGGCTTCGCAGGCCCGCCTCCTGCGCTGCTTCCGGTCCGACGGCCCGGTCGAGCTGCTGGCCCCGCCGGCGGGTTCCAACCCTGGAGACAGAGTCACTTTCCTCAACTACCCGGGTAACCAACCGTTGGCGCCGTTTTCCTCCATTTATCCGCTGACAGCGTTTCGGACAGAAAAGGGACGTGAAAGGTTGATTTGGTCGCCCGCGAGGCCCGTACTGACAGACAACAGGCCGGTCTCCTGTCAGACAAAACTGTCATTGCATTGATTTCATTGCGCTAATTGAGGGACGGTTCCTCTGTTGTGACCGCCTCGGCCACTGGGAGGCAGCATAACACAGTGAACGGAGAAGAAGACGACGACTTCTCCAAAGGACTCAGGAAGATGCTGTCAAATGAGTTATTCTTCACAGACCATCAAGAATACGCGCCTCGTGTTTCCTCTTATATGACGACTATTGGGGTTGCTCCACCATCGGTTCAAATAAGCATCGTTCAAAGAGTTTGGAAACTGCGAAGCTAACGTTAGCATCTCAGCGGCATTTTCCGTTCCAGGTTAGCATTAAGATGGCGGGCTCTCATGAAGGCAACATGGCTTCTTTCAAATACACAATTTAGTTTGGACAGGAAACATCGTCAAACCGTCTTTGGAAGAATTGCTCACGATTTGAATTATTGGCAGATGATGGACGGGTCGCCAATCAATGGCAAGGCAATGGACTAGTCACCAGTCTGTGTGCGTGTGTGTGTTGAGCAGGTGAACCTGACCGGGAGCTGAAGGCCAAGCAGCGGGTGTGGGATCACGTTCAGCCCGGCCTACTGGTGGACGCCGAGGGTGTGGCCAACTACAAGGGTTGCGGCTTCCAGGTGGAGGGCAAAGGCCTGTGCAGGGCGCCGTCCATCACCAACGGCACTATCCGATGCACATAGACGGGCCACCTGCGCCGTTTTGCGGACACAACGGGGTCGCACCGCGGTGGTGCTGTTGTTGTGATGAGCCCCGCAATCATTGCTGTCATCGGTGCTTTGCTGTTCTCTGATGTGCCGAGCTTTTGAACGGTCGTGCGTGCAAGCAGACAATAAACCTGAGCAAACTGGCTGTGTGAATGCCGCTTTTTGCGATACTGGGCGTGCGGCTAGCTAGCTAGCTATATATATATAGATATATATATCTATATATATAGATAGATAGATCGATAGATAGATAGATTTTGTATATACACACACACACACACACACTCTCACACACACTCATAGATATATTGTATGTACACACACATGCACACACACTCTCACACACACTTTTCGATCTATTAAAAACTGACAAACGCGTTCTAAAAATCCAGATCAAAACGAGTTGCCCTAAAATAGTGAAAATAAAATAGGAATTTAACTGGCATGAAAAGTCTAAAACTCTTGCAACCCTCCAAATCATTCCATAGCGCCCCCCCTGGCATCTTTCATGCTGTGCATTTAATGACATTTAATGACACCTCCACTGGCACCTTCAAACAAAAACAGCTGACAATGAAGATAAAATGATGATGATGACGGTGCCCATCACGAGTTGAACTTGGTGACGGCGGGCCAGCCGGTCTGCAGGCGGATCCACTCAAAGTAGTGCGCCACCTGCAGACGAGCAAAGGGTAAGGGATGGAGAGCAGGAGGGCCCAACCAAAAACCGTCCATCGCGGTCGACCGGGAGACGGCCGGCTGGTCCCAAGTCCACCGCGAGGGGCGTGGGTGTGTGTGTGTGTTGGGGGGAGGGGGGTGGGGGGGGCGGCTGCGTGGTGGTTATCATGAGCATTGATGATTAGTTGGGGTTGTGTGGTCGTGTGCCGTCCAGCCAATGCAAACATCATTCTCACGCCCACAAAACGGGGCCCAATTGATTTTGCGACTTGCCGATTGAATCGATCGTAGCCCTTTTAAAAAGGCAAATATCAGCCTTTTTTTTTTTACTTGACACATAAACACATAACCAAAACGCTTCAAAAAAATTCGAAAATTAGACCAAAAAAAAAAAAAAAATCTGCCAATATTTTTTCCTCTCTTGCAAAGTTAAAGAAGAACAAAGTTTGGAAAGCATGTTCTGCTTGCAATCCATAGTTTCATTGTTGTGTTAAGGGACCAAAAAGAAGTTCTCATTCATTCTATGTATTTTTTTAAATAACCGTATGATTCACCATTTATCGGGATCTTTTTCTACCAAATAGGAGCATCTGTGTAAAAAATAATAATAATAACAATAAAATTCATGTCAGTCATAATGATTGTTCCTCCCAGTCAGCCCGCCGATTAGAAATGAAAGCCGGCGTGCATACGTACACGCACGGCGTACGCACGCCGGTTCGGCCAAACCGGCCTTATGTGCATCACCTGCGTATAAACGCCCGGCAACCCCGGCTGGCCGCATTGATCGCCCCAGCTGACGATGCCCCACAGGTAGGACACGCCCAGGTGGTCCTGACACACCAGGGGGCCGCCGCTGTCGCCCTGGCAGGAGTCCACGTTGCCGTCCAGGTCACCTGCACGCACGCACGCACGCACGCCCATTTCAACGCGGACACGTCAGCGGCACGGGCGCGAACGGCGCCGTGACGGTCCGACACACTGACCGGCGCACATCATGCCGGGTCTGAAGCGGTCCTTGTAGAAGCGCTGGCAGTCGTGGATGAGGGACACGTTGGCCCACAGCAGAACCTGCGAGGCTTTCCCCACTGCAACACCGACAAGATGCCGCGTCAACCCCGCCGCTGGGTTTCGGCGGGGGCCGGAATACGAGCGAGGCCACTCGGGGGGTCTCGGCCGCACAGATTTTTTGCTTCGCTTTGTGGATTGTGGTGAATCCGCTCACAGATTTGGGCATGTGCTTGTCAAATTGTGTTGTTTTTTTTTTGGGGGGGGGGGGTCACTCTGAGCTGAAGGTAAACATCTACAAGAAAGAGAAAGGTTGAGCGCGCACGCACCTGACGTGCGGCCCCAGCCCGAGATGCTGCACGTGTGGTTGGCGCCGAAGAGCCGCGGCGACCAGGGCACGCAGGCGGGCTTCACCGCGGGGTTGTCCACCATACACTTGCCCGGCTCCTCCGGGAGGTCCTTGAGCCGCACCAGCGCGATGTCGTTCTCGTACGTGCTGGCGTTGTACCTGCGGGACGACATCGGTGAAGGCCACGGCCGCAAAGCCCGGCGAGCCGGGCGGCGGCGCCACCTGGGGTGAATGATGACGTTGCCCACGGGGATGATGTCGGTGGTGTCCTGAGGCGTCGACTTCTTCCAGATGGAAAACTTGACCCGGTAGGCCGACGGGTTGGGTCTGGAAAGACGGGGCAAAGCGCGTCGCGAGTACAAAACCTCGGCCGAAGCGACCGCTCCTCCGCCGCTAAGCACGGCGGACGCGAGCGCGGGACCTTCGCGTGGATGCGGGCCATGTCAAAACACTCCCCAAACGGCTCGGCGCGGTCGCACCTGACGCAGTGCGCCGCCGTGACGACCCAGCAGCCTCCGATGTAAGTTCCCCCGCAGTTGATCCTGCCGTTGTCTTCCAGGCCCACCTGCCACTGGATCTGCGTCTGCGTGGCGGCGACGCGACACGACACGCGCGTCAAGCCCGACGGCGACGCCCGGCGACGGGCCGCAAACTCACCCGGTTGGCCGCGACGCCGCCCACGACTCTCTTGACGCGGCCGGCTCGGTCCCCCACGCTGCTGTCGTGCGCGGCCGTCAAATTGGCAATGCCGCACTGCAACTTGGACTCCAGGTGGGCACGGTTGGCGCGCGTTTCTACGTGAGCAAAACTTGCCCATTCAGCAGGGCACCGCAACGTCACCCCCCCCACTCCCACCCATGTCTTTGGAACGTGCACTTCAAGAGGACAAACCTTTCCTAGGAGAGATGTACTCTGCGAGAAGGAGATGGAAGGAGGCGATGAGTGGCCAACGTGGCGGAAGCCTCTGGCGGGATCCTTCCCCGGTGCCTACCTGTGACGTTCATCTCCGTCCCGGCCGGCTCTGCGCGACATTAGAGATGGATCACTTCCCGCTTCTCTTGACGTTCCGCGGCGCTCATCGGGAGATATTTGCAATTTCTGGACCAATTGCTCGTGAATGCTGACCCCCATTGAAAAACCCAAACCATTTGGATGCACGTGGAACGATGTGGGATGGCAATGAGTGGACAAATTGTTCATTTCAAATGCGAGCCATGGTGTGAATCGGTTTTGTCGCACGTGTCATTGATGCCAAAAGAGGGGCCGCTTTGGGTGGGTGACAAGGTTGAATTTGGGCTCAATTTTGGCCCGGTTGAGGACTTCAAATGGCAACGAGGCCAATGTGTTCGGAAACTTTTGGTTGAAAATTTGGGGAATGAGAAAACCAATAGCCTGCAAGGTGTGAATTTCGGAAACTCATGATGTGAATCGGCGCCTGTGCGTTCACAAATGGATGAATAACACTTGGACGATGTTGGTTTTTTTTTTGTTGTTTCCCGCCACGCCAAATGTGAAAAGGTCAAATTTCTCACCGTGCGTCGGCGCCTCGTCTTCTCCCGCCAAACAGTCCATCTGTCCGTCAGCCAGCGCGTCGGCCTGCACGCACACGCCCGAGTCGCAGCGGAAGGCGCCCCTCCTGCAGCCTGGCGCGGGCGGGGGGGCACAATCGGCGTCAGGGCGCAAAGTGGACGCGCGCTCGGACGCGTGAGTGGGCGCTTACGTTTGCAGCACATCTCGTCGCTGAGGTCGCCGCAGTCGTCGATGCCGTCGCACGTCTGGTTGGCGGACACGCACTTGCCGTTGACGCACGCGAAGCCGCACTCTAGTGGGGAGGGAGCGGGCGGGCGGACGGGCGGCCGCCGTGCGTTCATTCGCGCGCGCTCGGGTGACACTCTCACGCGCAAAGTGCTGCGTCGACTGGAGCGATCGCGAGAGCGATCGCGAGTGCGCAGCGCTCAAGTTTCACGTCGGGAGGAGAGAGCGTTTCTGAGAGCGCCCCGAGCGGCGAGCAGAACCGATCCTGAAAGGTTTCCATCGGCGGCCCTCCCTCCTACCTCGGGGCGCCTCGTTGCGGTCGTAGCAGGTCGCCGTGGCAACCCGGCCCTCGCCGACCCGGACGCCGTCGTGGATGACGCACTCGGCCAGCGACGTCTCGAAGCCCCGGCAGCGAACGATGACGCAGCGGTCGGGCAACGGCGAGAGGGCGTGACCACCTCGCCTCAGGGGACCGGAGGCCACGGAGCCGGCGGACGCGGCGCCGCTGCGGGACAGAGACGCCGACAACGCGCCCTTAGCTTGCAGGCCGGCAAGGTGCTGACCCCGACCAGTTTCATGCCGGCGGCTTCCACGCGTGCACGTGAGGGGAGGGTTCGCTCGTCTGCGAGCAAATACTTGTCAGGCGAGTGCTTTCAGGGTTTCTTTCTTTCAGGCAACGGTCTCTTTTGGCGAAGAGGAAAAACTCCGATCGGCCCGGCCGCGTCCGCTTCGGGGAGGCTCATTTCCCCAAGCGGTCACGTCACCGGGAAGCAGTGACGGCTCCGACGAAGGCTCAAGTGACAGCCCAAACTGTCACTTTTTCCTCTTCACCCAAAAAAAGACAATTGTCCGGGGAAAGGGGCGTAACCCCCCCCCCCACAAAAAAGAAAAAAAACCTTCATCCTAAGTGTACCAATGAGCAGAGCAGATGAACGTCATAGCGCTCAATGTGAGAGCGGTTCCTTTGTGCAGGCGTGGGAGAGGCTTTGGCGAGCGTGTTTGCGACGCGTTCTCACAGCGGGTGCCCGTGATCCTTGCAGGCCACGTTGGCGGCGGCCATGTCCCAGCTCTGCCCGCAAACCAGCAAGCGCTTGCCCCCGCCCACGCCGGCTTGCTCGGGGACGAAGAGGCTGAGCGCGCCCGTGTGGGGATCCAGGAAACTCCGGAACTTGGGCTGCTCCTCTGCGGGCACCACAAAAGGCAAAGTCCAGTGTTTCCGGGCGGCGGGAAGCCGGCGAGCCGAGGCGACGTCGGGAGCAAACCTGAGCACGCTTGGTCAAAGTGGGACATGGCCGACTTGCCGCTGCGACACGACAAGGCCATGGCCTGCCACACACAAAGGCCAAAAGGTCAGACAACTTTCGCGCAAACAAATCGGCGCGACGTTGCTTTCGGTCTCTCGCTCGCCAAGCTGAATCTCTCCGCTCCAAAATTCAAGTCCACTTCCCTCGCGGGGCCGGCCAATGTGCTGCAGAAACATTCCGCCCGCGTGGCACGCGCAGCCCGGGTTTGTCGCGCTACTTTTGTCCGAACGAAGCACCTCAACTCATTTTGACACCCCGTCGTTCCTTGGCACCAACATGCCACAAAATGTCGGCGAAGCACTACTCTTGTCCAAATGAAGCTCCTCAACTCACCATAAACGGGCTTAAGTGGCACTGGCATTGTGAGGTGGGGCGGAGGACCCAAAAAGTGTCAGACCCCCACCCCCCTCCCCCCAAGGCTGCCAAACGAGAGCTACCTGGCAGTAGGAGCGGTAGAGGCGGCCGTCCCGCCCGCAAACGGGGGTGATGTCCTCGGTGGGACACAAATACGGCGGCTTGCAGGAGCAACGTCCCTCGATGCATCGCTCCCACGGGGCGCAAAAGACCAGGTCACAGGAGGCACGCGTGGGCCTGCAAGCACAAGTGGCCTTGAGCGCACGTCGCTGCCGCCGGCCGGCCAAACGGCGCCACCTACTTCCTGCCGAGACACTCCTCCGGACCCAAAAAGTCGTCGGGGTCGGTCGCCGCCCAGGTCACCTCCTGCAGGGGGCGCAGTCACACAACAAGCGTCATGAAGAACTTGGAGCGCCTGCCCAACATTTCAGTATCTGCTCTTCTCTAACGTTTCACCGAGATGTCTCAGCTCGTCTAAGCTCAGCAGTACAGCAGTAATACGCCTCAGTCGGTCTTCGGAGAGCATCAGGTATATATGACCGTTGAACTAAGTACCAAAAACTAGAGAACAATTCCTGGAGCATTTTTTGTTTTTTTTTTTTTAGGTTTAAAGCGAAGTAGCCGAATTACCGGAGGACTCGTTTCCCCCTGATATGGCTATTCACTTGTCTTTTTACATGCGTAGCACCGCAACATGGATGCTGATAGCATTAAGCTAGTGGACCGAAAGGCAAAGCTCTTTGGGGGGGGGGCCATTGGTCGAAATAGCGCGTCCATTAATAGCTTCTGCCTTTCTTCTCTCCCAGTCATCTCTGCAGTTCCGAGGCCACTGCAGGTTCGGTTTGAAGCTGGGGTCGCCAGTCAGGAGGTCACAAGATGACCTTTTGTTCCTTCCTCTAACCATAGCGGCTAAGGGAACAACAGACTAAGTGTCAAATGATTTGGCCATCGGTGATGTTGATCGGCAGGAAAACCAAACGAGTCAAAGAAGATGAAGACACCGAGAAGCGGGGGAAAAACTCACCCAGTTGGAGGGACAGATGAGGAGAAGCGGCAGGAGAAGGCAAAGGTTCATCCTGACCGTCCCGAACACACAATGTTGTCTCCCCAAGTCCGCGGCAGCTAAACAAGCCTCCGAGGACACCGTCCGTCAATTATTAGCCTGCCTCGTCAACAAGACAAACGGCATCGATCCGGCCGAGAACACGCCCCCCCCCCAAAAAAAAAAAATCAAAGGGCGTACGACGGCCTTCAAGTGACAGAGCTTCTTCCGCCCGCCTCCCCGTCGCTCGTCTTGGTCGACAGCGCAAACGGGCACGGGTCGGAGGGCACGTGAGAACAGACGAGCCGGTGCTCGACTTCGCGTCAGTGTGCCGGCCTCCAAATGATGAGGCCGCTTGACAATTTGTGTTTATTGACCTAAGCAGTCAATCGGAGTCAATGACATGTTTCTTAATAAACTGGGGGCGGGGGGCAAATTAGTCAAAACACACGTTCTTAAAAACTTGAAGATGCGTATGTGTGTTTATATTTGAAAATAGCCCCCCCCCCCCCCAAAAAAAAAAAAAAAAACGACGACTGAAGGTATTGCTGCCACTCTAGGAAAAAAGAACACTAAAATGGTGTAAAAATGTGAAGATAATCGTGTACAAACGTGAAAACTATGATGTCAAATTGCAGGATGGCACCAAGGTTGTCGGGCTGTCCTCCGAGAGGCCGTCCACGTCACATTTTGGACTTTTCACGTTTTTTCACGCTTTTACATGACAACTTTGGTGGATTTTTTTCCCTGCTGCCCCAGCAATGCGCTTCCACGTAGAATTTCGAGTCCAGATGGAACCTGATCGTAAGCCACTGCGTCATACGGAAAATGAAAACGGACATCCCGAGTCCATCGCAAGGTGTTGCGGCGCAGGCGCAGTTGGACCGTTTCATCCAGTAATTGTTGGGCGCGCCGCTAGAGGGAGCCCGCGACCGGGGTGGAGGCCGAGCGAAGGCGGAGCCAAAAAGACGCTCTTCAAAGCATTTATTCGCTTTTCCTTCCACGGACAGCAGAACGTGACTTGACGCCAAGTCAGCTCGAAATACAAATAAACAAAAAGCAGATTTCAATATAAATAGAAAGAGTAAAGCTTGCATTGCACCGGTTCACCACATTGGACTTGGGAGTCTTGCAACTTGCCCGCTGGCGCGCTTCGCCACGCCGACTTTGCATCGGAGGAGCTTAGCTTGCCGCCACGTTTGGTTTGAAGCCAACGAGAGGTTCCGTCCCCTCCGGACTCGGGAGTCTTGCAACTTGCCCGCTGGCGCGCTACGCCACGCCGACTTGGCATCGGAGGAGCTTAGCTTGCCGTAGGTTTGGTTTGAAGCCAACGAGAGGTTCCGTCCCCTCGTTGCGAGGACAAAAATATTGGTGAAGAAAATCCCGCGAAGGCAGTTTGGTGAATGATGACAAAGAGGCACGAAAAAGAAACAGAAAAGTGACACGCCTTGAGCAGGCCTCATTTAAGAATGGCGGTTCGGAGTGTTCTTTCCAGACGCTTTTGCGCACGTATCCATCGATCGCTGATGAACAAGCGGGACAAAGTCCGCACGTTAACGTCACCGTTCCATTCCGCCGCAACGTAGACGTCGCGCGCCGTTCGTTCGTCTTGCCGCGTGGCATCAGCTGCTTGTTAAGGGTTTGAGGAGTTTGTTTTGTTAGTTTTGTAACACGTGAAAACCTCAGTTGGAGTGTGTGCGTGTCGCCGTTTAAGCTGGCCGGAGTGCGGACCACGTCAATTCGCATAAGAGCACATTTGTTTCCTGCTATCTTCAAGATAACAACATGAGTGTCGTGCGTCGATTGTCCTCCCAACTTGTTGACGCGAAGAAATAGGCAAAGGCGCCAAATCCGAACTAAAGAAAGAGGTAGGAGAAAATGTCTTCGCGGTGGACGAGCGCGCAGCCGCCGCCAGGCGGCGACGAGCTCGTCGGACGCCGAGCGGTGTGCGGTCGCTTTGCTTGGAAGCCGAAGGCAAATCAAACCTTGCACTATTCAAGGGAACTCATCAAAAGGGCGGACAGGTGCCGAGCGGGGCTCATTTGGCCAAATTCTTCGGTCCGACTTTGTCCGAGCGGCGGTCCGGGAATTCACCGAGAGAAGGCCGCGCGGACCCAAAACTTGAGGTTTGGTTTCGGGGATGGACACTTGAGACTTTTTCGCAGGCAAACGTGTACACCAAATTTTGCCCATCGGTGAAAACGCGGACCTGGGACTGCCCCCCGCACCCCCCACCACCACAAAAATAACAATTCCAGGAACCTTTGTCTTGGAAAGCACCCACAATGCCTCATTTCCTGGTTCAATTTCTTGTGTGTTCTATTCTGGGAGGCGTGTCCACCAAATTTCAGGTCCATTTGGTAAAGTGGCGGAGGCGGCTACTTGGAAATTTGCTCTCACTTTCCAGGCCATGCTTTGGAGGGGGGGGGGGTCATGTTCGGGACCACCAAAGTAAATACATTTTCACCAGAATTGCAAAAATTGTTGGAGCATGTGAACTCCCCCAGCCCCGCCCCCAAAAGACAATGTGAAACAACAGCTATTCCAAAAGGGCCTTTGCACAGCCTGGCGTTCGCATCAAAACAACATGGGCGGGGAAGAAAAAAAAACAAAACAGAAAAGCAGGCTTGGCCTGGAGGCGCTGGCTAGTACGGGGTGGCAGCAGGCGAACTTTTGAAGCTGCTGAGGGCCGCATGAATGCGAAAGTGCAGTCTGGACTCCATGGAGTAGTCCTTGTAGTTGCTCCTGACGCCACGACAACAACAAAATGTCAGGTCCCTGAAATGAAAATGCGGGCGTGCCAGCGGAAGGACTTACTTGGCGTTTTCCATGAAGGCGGCGGCCTTGGCGTCGTCACCCCGCTGTCGGTAGAGGAGGCCCAACTCATACAGCGTGAAGGGGACCAGGTAGTGATCATAGCGGATGCGATTTTCACTGCAACCACCGCCCCAGAAAAAAAACAAACAAACAAACAAAAACAAAAAACAAGTTTGTGTTTTGTAATCACACGCCATCATGGATTTTATATCCCAGCCTCGCAACGTGATTCCAGAGAATGGAGAAATGAGACACTGCTTGTGCACGGTGACTTCACGCCGCCATCCAATTCATCGCGTTGCCGGCCTTGGCCACCAGGTGGCAGAATAACACCATCGCGCAGACACAAACGAGCTCACCCCGACTTGATTTCCCGAGCTCGTTAAAGCTGAGAAGAACGAAGAACGGCTCTTCTTCTGCTCTATGCGTTGGAGTCAAAGATGCCGCAGAGGATAAAGAATACATGCCCGCGAGCGCCGTTGGAGAGTTTCAACGATGCGCCAATTAAATGACGTTTGCCGGCCGCTATTTTCGACCGGACCGTCTTTGGCGGCCCGCGAGGCATCTGGGCTCGTACCTGGACAGGACGTGCGTGAAGCAGAGCTCGGCCTGCATCAGGCGTCCCGCGTGCTTGAGACAAAGACCCTTCAGCATCTGCACCAGACAGCTGTCGTCCACGTGGAACTCGGACGGCTCTGAGGGGGGGCGCGGACAGCGGTCAGGCCTGTGGAACACACGAGGGAGGAGGCGGGGGGTCGCCGCGACACTCACGGGGGTCGCGGCCGAGCTGCTCCTCGGCCGCCTCGATGGTCACCAGCAGCGCCTCGGTGCAGTCGGCTCGCTTGGCCACGATGGTGAAGCCGCTCCAAACGTACATCATTTCCTGTGAGGGTGGGGGCGGGGCGGGGGGGGCCACAGGACACGCACGTGGGCACGCGGTCGCGTAACGCCGACGGATGGACCGACGGCGAGCGTCAAGTACCAGAGCCGGGAGCACCAGCGGCACGGGGGCGCCGGCCTTGTAGCGGCGAGCTTTGCGCACCGCAAACTTCTCCGTGGGGATGGACTTGCCGGCCAGCCGCTGCTTGAGCCCTTCCACCTGCCTGCGCAAACACAAAACGCGTGCGTGAGAGCGGCCCCGCAGGCGCTTGGGAATCCGCGGTGCCGACGGCGGCGCACCTGAAGAGCTCCGCCACGTCTTCGCCCGTCTTCTTCACGTCCTCCTGCGACATCATACTGAGGATGGCGGCCTTCTGGTACACGTAAATGGCCTGCGGGAAAGCGGGAAGGCTCAGCGCCAAAACGGCGGCCGCGGTCCGCCCCGCCCGCCCGCCCGCCCCTCACCTTGGACCAGCGGCTCTCGCGACACAGCAGCTCGGCGTAGCGGTACGCCTGCGGCCAATCCTGCTGGTACGAGTGCGTCCACATGAGCTCCCAGTAGCACAGGTGGTGGATCTGCTTCCACTCCTGCTGGCTGCTCACACACTCCTGGTAGCCCGAGCACGCCTGCGACACGCGCACACGCACACACGGCAGGCGAAGGGCCCGCGTCAGAGGCGGCCGGGGGAAGGCGGCGAGGGCGCCGAGTGGAGAACCTCTTCAAAGTGTCCCCGCAGCGCGGCCAGCCGGGCCGAGTAGAAGCGGATGATGGCGCCCTGGAAGCAGCCCCGCCCACGTGAAAACCCGTGCGGGGAACAAGCGGCTCGGAGGGGAGGGGAGGGGAGGGCGCTCTTACTTTGGGATACTTGTGAAGGTACGGCTCCAGCAGGGCTTGGGCTTCCACCACGTTGCCCTCGCCGCTTCCTGCGCACACAAATACACGCGCGTGGGCCAAAGGGTTCGTTCGGGAAAGTTGTTGCGGGTTCTTTGGATAGGACATTTGCCATCAGCTTCCCACTCGCGGCCACGCCCGGGCAGGTCGGCGGCAGTCCCGCCCATCTTACGTTTCTGAAGCGTCGTCGCATGCCCAACTTGGAGAGGGTCTCGCGGTGCTCGCTCACAAGTTCTCTCTCAGATCTGCCGGCGCAACTCTCCCTTGCTTCCTGCGCTCCACGTTGGAGTGTGCCGCTACACCCCGCGTCGCCAAATGGCAGCGTGCGAGACCCGCCTCTTATTGGAGGACGCGCCTCAATTTTCCATCTTTATTCATTTTTGTGCGGGCCGAGTCACAATCCTAAAGCCGTGCTCGACTTTGGTTGCTTCCTTTACACCGATGCATGATGACTTCTGCCAGACCACCACATGGTTTCTTTTTTCTATGAACAGGGCGGTGTCTTTTTTTTTTAAGCAGCATTTTATTTCTGAAGTGCTTTTCAGCGCCACTCGTTGCAACCGCTGGCACGCACGCACGCACGCACGCACGCACGCGGGCAGGCAGGCAGGGAGGGAGGGAGGGAGGGAGGGGGAGAGGCGGGCACCTACCCAGCACCAGGGAGACGTAGGTGTGGTAGAACAGCAGCGTCAACGTGCACAAGATGGAGCGCAAACTGGAGCCGCACGTTCCCTCTCGCAGCTGCGACAAGCCGAACTCCTGTCGGGACCGTCGCGCGTCGTCAGCGAACGCCAGAAAACACACACGCGTGCCCGTCAGCGCAACTTGCCCGGTTTCCGGAGAAGCCGATGAACTCCAGCAGCCTGAGGATCCTCTGCGGGAGGAGGGACAGCATCTGGGGGGGGAACCGAGTCCAAACCAGAATAAGAATAAAACAGCGAGCGTCCGCTAGATCGCAGCTCTCCGTTGGCGCCAGGTCCCCCCTTGGGGGGGTAGGGGGGCTGCTCACTGTAATCTGAACAATTATCCCAAGAGCAGCGTAAGAGAAACAGCAGGAGCACGGACACCCACCAAGTTGAAGGAGCCGACGCCCAGCTGGACTCCACCCTCAAACTGCCTTCGCGAGTCCGACTGGCTGCTCAAGTCGTGCGCCGCATTCAGCACATTGTGACAGTCCCTGAGACAATGACGACGACAAAAAAAAAAACAAAACAAAAAGGAACAAGATGAAAGTGTACAGAGTCATCGGCATCGTCTTTTTGTTTTCCCCAACTGAGCTGTTTTTGGAAGCATGATTAGCGGGCCACGAATGAGCCCGCGAAAGGGGAGCGAGAGGGCGGGAAAAAACTGACTTGTAGATTTGATAGCTGCTTCTGATTTTAATGGCTCCTTTGATGAAGCTGATCATGTTCTCGTCCTGCACAAAGGTCAGCGTGGCTTTCTGGAGCAAGCACTCGGCGTAGCAGAGCTCGGCGTGCATCTCCTCTGAGGACACAAAGGCGCCACGTTGCCGAGGAGGGCGGCTGGGGCACGGCGGCGGCGGCGGCCGTACCTTCCTGAAGGTTGGCCGGCCTGCTGATCAGACTGGACAGCGATCCCACCACCGAGTTCTTCTTGCGAAACCTGAGGGACAAACGACCGACGCGAGTGTGGCAAAGCTTTTTTGGGGGGGGTTGGGGGGTCTCCTCGTACCTCTGGCAGGTGTGCAAGGCCTCCTTGATGGTCGTCATGGCAATCTGGATGTCCTTGTGCTCGAAGGTCATGGCGGCCTGCAGCACCAAGATGCTGCTGTAACCCAAGGCGTGGTACATGCTGTCGCGCCACCTGCACATGCGCGCCATCGCTTATTGAGGAGCCGAACCGTCGCATCCTGAGGAGGGGGGCTGGGGGGGGGGGGGTACGATTGCGTGCTGACCATGGCTTCAGGAGCTCCAGGGCTTCGGAGAACTTGTTGTTGAGGACCAAGTTCAAGGCGCACTGAGTCTCCTGGATGGCCGACTGCAGGTCCATGTGACGCGCGCTGCGCACACGCGCACACACACACACACACACACAAAGTGGTGGGTTGACCCCACAACAGGAAGTGAAACAAGCGCCCGCAGGAAGCGGTGGTGCGGCGCGCTGCGGGACTCACGCGGGAATGCGGTCGTAGGCATCCTCAAAACGGTCCTGCCAAACACAGAGAAGCACACGCAGACGGTCATACGCGGGGCGGGGCCACAGCGAGGCGCCGACATTTCAACCGCAAGCGCGCCGCTGTTCGTTTGCCTCAACGGGCAAAGGCGAACCCGAAGGAACATCTCAAGGAACACCCGTTGACAAACCAAATGGAACAACAGAAGGAGACACTCACAGGAGGAACCCCCCCCCCGCCCTGCCCCCATGTTGGCCGGGCCCTAAAAAAAAAGTTACCTGAGGTTCTTTTGGGTTCCCTGTTTTAAATGAGGCCTTCAGGTGTTCTTTGAGCTGAACAACCTGACGACAAACAGCTGACTGTCCAAAAAAAAACAAAAAAAAAAAAAACAGCAGAGTGTTTGGAACCTCATGACCAAATCCAGGGTGGCAATTTTTCCATTGCTGTGCACACCCCCCCCCCATTTTTTTGGGGTTTTTTTCAGCATTGGTCCACTTCTGGGCCAAGTCTCTCAGGATGAGTGGACACAAACACCCGGAGGAGAAACTGAAGCGTCCACTCAAGAAGAACCTCAGGAAGCACCTCAAGAAATGCCGTCCTTCAGATTGCGCGTCACCACCTCAAGACATCCCCAAGGGAGAAGCTGAAGGACAAGCAAAACAAAACACCCGGCAGGAGAAAGTGAAAGAACACCCGGAGAACAGCTTGAAGAAACGCCTGACAAAACTCCTGGAGGTGATCCTGAAATCATGCCACCAAGAGCGACACCCCAAGGAGAAGCCAAAGAAAAACCTTGAGGACAACCGCAAAGGAACAACCGAGCAAATGAAACGTCTCGAGCAAAGCCGAAAGGAAGACCTGAAGAAAGCTCCGCGGGGAAAAAACATCCGAAGGGACAAAAATAGCGAGCGGAGAAGCCAAAGAAAGGCGTTCATTTGCGGCGTCTCCTTTCCAAGGAAGGGTCACCAAACCTCCCATCGCCGAACAACCCAAGGGGAACCCGAAACAAGCGCCTGAAGAAAGAGCGAATGGCCGAGCAAAGGAGAACCTTGTTCCGCCGGGGACTTTCTTCAAGGTTCTCCGACACACGCACGCAGACGTGATGGAGCGAACCCGAACGGCGTTCATTTGAAGGAGGATGGAGCCTCGAGGAGGAGCTGAAGGCAAGGCCGTCGAGCGACTTCCTCAGGAACAGCCCCGAAGGTGGGGAGCCGCCGGAGGGACGACAACGGAAGGAGCGAACAAGGAGAACAGATGCGCCTTGTCCCAATTCTCCGTCCGGCGCCTGCCACATCGCTGACATTCCAGAGCCCGCGGCTCAACCTGCCGCCTCAGCACAACCTTGGCCCGCACAATGGACGCTCACACACCGGCTCGGCGCAAAGATGCTGCGCGCCGGTGCGCCGCCCGCTTGCGGCGGCGTCACGTGACAGGAGGGAAAACGCACAGCCCGGCCGTCACCGCAAAGGTCAAGCGAGACCCAAGAGCAGAGTCTGAAAGCTCGCCGAGGAGGTTCCTCGCGTTTCTTCGGATGAGCCGCACGGGTCCCGGAGCCCTCCGGGGGTCGTCCGCTCTCGAACGACCGCAAAAGAACATCACTTGGAGCGCTCAAAGCCGGAGCCGTGGCGACCGCACGCGGAAGTGCGCCCGACGAAGCGGTCACGACCGAACGCGTCGGCCTCGTTTCCGGACCGGCCGAGCGACCGCCGTGCGCTCGCTCGGTCCCTTCTCACCTCGTCCTCGGCCTCGGCGTGGGTCGCGTCCTCCATCACGTCCGTCGCTGCACAGCCGACACGTCGCTCGAGTTTGGTCTGTAGGGAAGGGGGGAGGGGGGCGGAGGGTCGGGTCAGGCAAGCAGCGAGGCGTGCAGGGGGCGTCACTTCCGCCTTCGTCACAGGCGCGTCGACACGCCCCCGTCCGGCAATACGACGAATACACATTTTGGTCCGCTATTTTCCAGGCGGCGCGGCGACCGAACAGCGAAAATCCAGTGAAATGCATTTAATTCTTTCAAAAAAAAAAAAAAAAAAAATGCCGATGAACTGCCAGAATACATTTCCAAAAAAACTCGAAGCAATTCAAAAATCACGGAATTGGCGACTCCACGGTTGCCGACAAGCAAGCGTGACGGCTCGACTCGAAATCAGCGTTTTTAAAAGCACAGCTCCTTCTTGGGCCCTGATGACCGCAAAGGTTGACGCAATTATCATTCATTGTCCGCGCATTCCATCCATGGCAAGACACTATTTCAGCGACTCTTAACCGCTGACGATTTCAAAAGTTCACTTCTGCAATGTTCCTTTGACATCCCAATTGGCGAGTTACTTTTAGAACACGCAGGCAGGCCCACTGGCGACACACGCGGACCTCGGGGTCACATAAGGACGGGCACTTGAAAAGCACAAGTCGTAGTAATGTTTGATTTTGGCCTGATCAACCATTTGTGCTTTGTATAAACTCATCCTACATAAAAAAATGGCCAATGGAATTTGAAAAAATAGCGTCAATGCCTGCGATTGGCTGGCAAGCGGTTCAGGGTGTCCCCCCGCCTCCTGCCCGACGACGGCCGAGAGAGGCTTCGGCACCCCTCGCGAGGATAAAGCGGATCGGAAAATTGATGGATGGATGTCGATGTCTCACGAGCCTCACGAGGTAGTTTCATAACAGTGGATTGTGATTTCAGATGTCATTTGACTTGCATCACATCGAAGAGAGAGAGAACGTGAGGGCAGGCCCTTTATTGAAGGGTGGCAAGAGTAGCTGCCTTCATTCCAGGTTCCTAGAATTGAAAGGGGGAAAAAAAATAATAATACTAATCCTATCAGAAAAGCCCGACAGACATGGCTGCACATGACCTCTCCGATCACAGATTGCGTCAAACGGAGACAAGAGCCGTTAAAAAAATACAAACGTCGGCCCAAGACGAAAATCTTGTTCCAGTTCAAGCTTCCGTGGGAATTTTGTGGACGCGGCTCGGTCCCTTCCGACTGGCGCGGGTGACTTCTCCCACGCCGGAAGCTAGTCCGCTGCAAATAAGACCGGCACACGGACGATGAGTCGCGTGAACGTTCGGGACGCGAGAACGGCCCGTGAATTGCAAACCTGACGGGGGCCGGTGTGCGGGGACCTCCCCTTCCTCGTCGCCCGCCGCCCTTTCATACTTCTTGCAGCGCTCTTCTTCCTCGCGTTCCTTCTCCTCGAGCAGCGAGCGCAGGAAGGCGGCGCTCACCACCTCGTCGCCCTCGCCGAGGAGGAAGGCGTTCTTGAAGCGGTTATACAGCATGGCCGCCTTGTCCATGATGTCCTGGTTGGCGCGGTAGAAGCGCATCTGCGGCAAGACAGAGCGGCGGTTACGGCCGGCGCGTTTCCGCAAGGCGGTCGAGCCCGCGGGGCCGACTCCACTTGGACACCGATTGCCCCCAGATGCCACGAGGCGGCGGCAAAGCGCTTCCCTTCCACTTGGGCTGATTTACTGCAACAACAAAGACCATTGTCAGAGGATCAACAGCGTGCATCGAGTGTGTCCACAAAGGTGAACCCAGGTTCCATACACACGTGGACAAAACTGTTGCTACCCCTCAGTGAAGCAAAGAAAAAAAAAAGAACCGAGGAAATTTGGACAGTGCTTTTAAATTGCGGTCCAGCAGAAGTAGAGAGAGAGGGAAAAACAAACAAACAAAAAACTTCTTCAAAAAAACAAATAAATAATGGTGGTTCCCCTAGAAAAGACGGGACAGGTCCTCCAATGAGCATCGCGGGTGTTTTCAAACCCGTCATCAGCCAGTCGGCCTCTTTCTAGTCGGCGACGTGGCGCGGCGCACGCCAAACACGGACCGGAGGAAGCCGAGGAGCGAGCCGAGAAAGAAAAGGAATGGCAAGCGCGTGTAAAGATCAAGGCCGTGAAGGGCTTCTCCGAGCGGCGGGATGTTCCCGTGGCTGCAGGTGCACCTTTTTGGAAATTTCAGATCCGCGGCACTGCAACCAACCTCCTCGGATGCGGCCGCAGGAGGAAAATGGAAGAGATGGGAGAATCCGATGGAAACGCGAGAGCCCGGAATAAATGCCGGGTGAATGTCAAGGTCGAGGTCCATCAACGTCCGATGGCACCGGTGACCGATTGGCGCCGTTTCTTCCCTTCCGGCGGTCCCTTGACCGGCAAAGGGCGGTTTCTGAGCGGTGAGCCGGCGCAGCGCTTTTCCAGTGGCACTCACCTTCCTCAGAGTGGAGATGAGCTCGCTGTGCCGCTGGACGTGCTGCGACGTGACGTAGATGCCGCTCAGCTGATCCAACGCCGCCAGACACTTGGCGACATCCTGACCAAACACAGCGCAAAACGTGAGCGCGCGCGCGCCACTCGCATTCCTTCCTTTCGTTTCAGCCTCGGCACGTCCGCCTCCCGTTTTCCGGTCGTCCAAGAAAGCGGACGGGTGAAGTGGGCCACCTCACGCCCACTTTTTATTTTTCTTGTTCTTTTTATGTGCCGAAGATATGCAAATGGCTTCTGGGGGTGCAGCCTTTTTCATTGGCTGCTATCAATGTTTTGGGGTTTTTTTTTTTTTTTGGACAAGAAATTGATGGCGAATGAACGTCCCACCAATGAAACGTCCGTCATCGTGACTAGAAGTCGTGTTTGTGCTTTTGACGTCAGCTGTTGCATGTTGCCGCCTTTACACGAAATCTTTCTTGTCACCACAATGCGTGTTGACCAATCTCAGCTTTGTCCCAAATCGCGCTTTGACTTTGGAAAAACGACGCTCCCCACTTTTGGCTCTTTCCCACCAAGTGACGGCGACCGCGAATCCGTGCATCAATTCTGCCGGTGGATTTTCTTGCACCGTCAATCGGAAATTGTTTTGGAAATGGAGGGCTGCAAAAAGAAATCGTCGATTTTTCAAATCATTGTGAGCCGGAAGCCTTCCAATTAGTTTGAAACGAAATGGTGGCGAATATTTTGCACCTTTGACAGATGTGGAAAACGCTGTCGTCCTTTTGAAAGCACTTGTCATTCTTTTGCGACTTTGCGTCGACTTCATCGATTGGCCTCGACTTGAATACTGAAGACTCCCACACCGAGCGAGTGCGTTTACTCGGCGGGGTTCTCGTTGGCTTGACGGTTTTCAGTATTGTTGGCTTATTGTTCGTTTTGAGTTGAATTTTTTTTTAAAATTTCATTTGGTTTACTTTTACTTTTTCAAAATGGCTCCTTTGAGTTGTTTTTTGAAAAAAAAAACAAAAAACAAACATTTTTGTCGAGCGCAAAAGCCAAAATAAACGGTATAATCACGTGAACTCCAATTCCCGAACGGCTATCGGACCGACCTTGATCCGTCCATCCGCCGACACCCAGATGAAGCCATTTCCAAAGCTGGTTTGAAAGCAAAAGGTGAACGCGAAGGCCGCGACCGCGTTTCCGTTTGGGCTTTGGTTGCGATTTGTTTTGGCGAGCGCCGGAAGGCGGCTTTGGGCGCGAGCCTCCTACCGGGGTGTCGCTCTTGAGCGAGATGCGGATGTCTCCGTGGATTCGGTGCAGCGTGGAATCGGTCGGTGTCAAGTTCTTCTTGGTCTCCTGCCGGACGTCCTCGCCGGAGCCGCTGAAACGAAATGGTGGCGAATATTTTGCACCTTTGACAGATGTGGAAAACGCTGTCGTCCTTTTGAAAGCACTTGTCATTCTTTTGCGACTTTGCGTCGACTTCATCGATTGGCCTCGACTTGAATACTGAAGACTCCCACACCGAGCGAGTGCGTTTACTCGGCGGGGTTCTCGTTGGCTTGACGGTTTTCAGTATTGTTGGCTTATTGTTCGTTTTGAGTTGAATTTTTTTTTAAAATTTCATTTGGTTTACTTTTACTTTTTCAAAATGGCTCCTTTGAGTTGTTTTTTGAAAAAAAAAACAAAAAAAAACATTTTTGTCGAGCGCAAAAGCCAAAATAAACGGTATAATCACGTGAACTCCAATTCCCGAACGGCTATCGGACCGACCTTGATCCGTCCATCCGCCGACACCCAGATGAAGCCATTTCCAAAGCTGGTTTGAAAGCAAAAGGTGAACGCGAAGGCCGCGACCGCGTTTCCGTTTGGGCTTTGGTTGCGATTTGTTTTGGCGAGCGCCGGAAGGCGGCTTTGGGCGCGAGCCTCCTACCGGGGTGTCGCTCTTGAGCGAGATGCGGATGTCTCCGTGGATTCGGTGCAGCGTGGAATCGGTCGGTGTCAAGTTCTTCTTGGTCTCCTGCCGGACGTCCTCGCCGGAGCCGCAGCTCCGCTCGTCATCCGCGGCGGATTCGCGGCCCCTTGCGCCAGCGGCCCCCGCGCTCTTCCGGCCGGGCGCGGCCCCGCCCGC